GTGGTTTGCAAAGTTTTGTGCTGGAGATTTCTCGCCAGACGATGCTCTGCGGTCAGGTAGACCAGCTGAAGTAGGTAGTAGTCAAATCAAGACATTAATTGAGGACAATCAGTGTTCTACCATGCGGGAGATAGCCAACATACTCAAAATATCCAAATCAGTAAAGTTATTGGTGAAAATGAAAAATGTGTCTTTTATCTTACAGGAAAAAAAACTATACAGGCTTTTTGGCCAACCCAATAGCACAAGACTGTGAAAACTATATTTTTAGAAAATGAGTTTTCAGAATGTCTTTGGTTGTATTTTTTAAAAAATTCTTTTACATATGAATATATTTGTTTGTCATAGATAAAAGAAACTAGTCCATATGGATAACATGGCTTGATTGCGCACCATTCCAGTTAAACATGCTGGGTTTTGTTTAGTTATGTTGTGTGGCTTTAGTATACATTACTGCCCCGTAGGCCTCATCCACATACCTCAGAGTAACCTAATACACGTCTTTAAATTAAAAACATGATTTGAGTTTGGGGGCTTCATTTATGGTAAGAAATGTGAAATGCAAGGAATTCAGTGAATATAAAAAGTATTTAAATAAAGTTTTTGAAACATTTCACAACTAGCTAGTGCTAGCTATGTTAAAGATGAAATAAAAATTATGAAGACATGAGTCATAATTTTGGGTTCTTCTGTTAGCCCATGATTTTCTTTTTATAGAACTTATTGTTCTTGTCTTTTGTTAACCAAGCATATTTTACCTTTTATTTTCCATTATTCTTTTAAATTTTTATGCATTAATCTATATAAATACCTTATTTATCTGCAAAATAAATCTGTTTACTTGTAGATTAGTAGTGTTAATCCTGTTTGCCTTAGGTTAGAAAGTGTTATGTTTGGGCTAGATGGGAATTATATGTGAATGATATGAATGAGGTTTCAGCTTTCTTTGCTTTCTGGTTATTTTTTTCAACTAATGAAGAGAAAAGAATCAGTGTTGTTTAAGGTCAAAGAAAAGGCTTTGCCTTGCCCCAGCAGTGAGCCTCCTGAGAACTGGGAGACGACCTGGAACTCCTTTGGGTTCTATGGATTCTAGAACATTGCAGGGGAGGGGGTCCCAGATATTTGCTCCATCAAGATTTTTCACATTTTAAAAGTTACACATTTTTTTCACAATATTTCTGATAACTTTGAGTTGATTATATTTTCCTCTGTATATATACCTTGTTTTTGCTTTAGAAGTTAAAGATTAGGAAAAGTTAAATACAGACTAAACTAAAGATATATATTAAAGATCTTAATTCAGCTTTCAGCTTGATTTTTGTTTAGCTTTGATTTGTTAAACATCAAAAAAGAAGAAAGGAAAACATTTAGATTTTATATAGTCAAAGAAGAACAAAGATTTGAAATAGTACCCAGATAATTTAGGGAAAAATAAATCTTGAGAATTTTTTAGAGTTTATTTTTTATGCATATTGGTTTTTTAATAAAATGATATTTGTGTATTAAGTTTTGAAAATAAAGAATTGTGCACTAAATAAAAAATCAATTACAGGCTCTCTATTTAATTACTGTTCTATTTCCTGATTCATGTAGTTTATTTGTTACAAATGTTTGTATCATAGATACCTATTTATGTTCATATTAAGCTTTTAAAAAACTTTTCACATTGTTAATCTTTCTTTAAAAAGATGGCTTTTAATGGCTGTTTGCATAGAAGGCCATTGTTTGGAAGGCCTATGAGGTTATTTCACCCCTCTCCTTCAGTAGGTGTCGAGTTTAATAAGTCCAGGTTTTTGCTGTTATAAATAAATCTGCAGTGTTTTTATTTTCTTACCTGATGAATTGGAATATGTTTCTGAAAGTAAAATTACCAGGTTAAAAGGTATATGGTGTACATAGGATATGAACAGCTTTGAGATTTGAATTACATAGTGTTAGATTCCACCCCCAGAAAGATGGCCTCAAAAGGATTTTTTTAGCCTTTATTTATTGCATCTAGGCAGTTTCACTGTTTTCTGTTTCATCATCATAAGTATGGAGACATTTTACAGTTGTTTCTTTAATCACTTGATTTAAGACCATAGCTCAAACTAAGGTGAATTGCGTAAGTCATTTTTAGGATTGGACGAGACCTCAACCATCATATATTATTAATAATAATCATTGAAGAAAAACATATAGCTTCTACGTCCTCGGTTTTCTCCTAGGGATATTAGAGAGTCTGTTTCTGTAAGTCACCTCCTGTGCCTCACACTGTGAGGTATTGATACTGTCGAGAATTAGGCCAAGAAATAAAGGCAGCAGGCTGTTGTTTTTAATTGGTTTATATATTCTTCCTTGAACTTTTTTTTAAAAATAATTGTTAGATGGAAAACAAAAAAGCAGATTGAGACTGTACATTTTATATTTGGGGAAGATAGCTTAGAGAACTGGTTCTTTTTTGTCCTATCACTTACAGTTTTTAAACTAAATTTTATAGGCCATTATTACTTCATAAATTACCAGTATTACTGTAATTGATTTGAGCAGCCTGCCAGAGACACTAGAAAGAATGTGAGAAACAATGTAGGTAATTGTTGAAATCACATGTGTGCTCTGTTCTTGGAGCCCTAGTTTGGTGTAGGCATGTTTATATTAAATTTTAGCTTACTCTTTAATTGGAACCATGCTTGATCCTGTTTTTATGAAATGGTGGGAGAATTCTGAAGAGTCAATGTTCTACCAGAAATACTCAAGATTTTCATTTAGCACAAGGTGTCTAATGATTTGGAGATTGAGAACAAAGTTATCTGCAGCCCACAATTAGTGGGACCTTGGAATGTTCCATCTGGAGGGTATCTTAAGTCCAGGCAGAGGTTCATCAGAAGTTCTCAGCCACAGAGGAAATTCAGCCTGTGGGGGCAGGAGGTATTTCATTAAGCCGAGGAATACTGTGGGGGCAAAATGCAAAATTATGGGAAGTTTTAAGACAAAGCATTCAATGTCAAGGCCATGTGCATTACCAGCCGCAGTCCTGGGCTGATCCTGACTCCAGAAGGAGCTAAGCTCACTCACCCCTGCTTTTAGTATCACATGAGTGGAGAGTGGAAAACTAATAAGCAAGGCCCTGAGAGGTTAAGGATCCTTCCCACTGTTCACAGGAAGTTACTCTGCATAATGGGAACTGTTTGGCAGTTGTAGCTCACAATTGTAAGTGCTGTATTCTGCATATACCCAAATTGTGTTTCATATGAAGGTCTTCAGTGACACTCATTGGATTAGTGAATACTTTAACACAGGCTCATTGCTTATTGAAAAATGACCTCTGAAAGACCAGTTCTTCCTCTATTTTGGTAAGGCTGAGGCCCTGAGAAGCTACCCATGTCCTGTGGAAGATGGGTTGACTACTTCCACACACCACTTAAATGCATGGGTCCTGCAGGCCAGGCAGGGGGACGGGCAGTTGCAAATGTGTTTTTTGCCCAGGGCCACAGCAGCCACAACAGAAGGGTGTCCCTTCTGAGAGGTTGTTGGCACCAGGAATAGTGGTTTTTATCATTACTTATATACGTAATTACTCTCCTCTCTGCCAGCCACTTTTGTGTCCTCTGGCAACACCTAGCACAGATTGGGTTGTAAATGGCACCCACTTAACACTTACTGAATTAAACTTGTTCATAAAGTATGGGGGAGGGGCATGTATTTGTGCTCCTGCACTGAGTTTTACAGTGGTACTCTGTTTTATGGGAGGGAAATCATGGAAAAGTAAAACTAAGCTAGCCAAGTTCTTTTGTTGACATAGAGCTCACCTGGAAAAGGACGGTTTGTTGTATGTAATAATCTTAAGTGCTTGTGGTATTACCCCATTGATTTAACCCATATACCAGACCATTATTCAGGAGATGAACTGTTACTACAGAAGAGATTTCTGAGAAAAGTCGGTCATTCGGGATTCTATAGGATATTGAGTTCTATGAATAATACCAAAGTAGAATTTTTTCATATATCTTAACCTTAGAATTCACTTGAAACTGGAACATTATTGAGAGTTCAGCGGGGGGGATGTGGTCTGGGGCTCTGATTGGACAAATGAAGAATAATCTTGAAGTTTGAGAGTACGAGCTAGAAATTCATCACTTTTTTGAATTTATGTATATGTGGCTAAATGGGAAGAGTGTTTGTTCACACAGTGAACTTACTGAAAGTGGGATGTGTGAGTAAGTCGAAGCTGACAGGAAGTAACAGTGGCGCACAGTGTGACTGATGCTCACATTGTAATGTCTTGAACGCTGTGTGAAGCTGAGAACAATAGCAAAGAAGGGGAGAACCCTTGTAAAAGGCTGCTTTATTTTTTTACTCAATAATTTAGTTTTTATTAAAAAGGTCCCCATATTGTTGCGCATGACTTTCTCCTCTTTTGCGAAGCTTTCTTGCTTTCTTTTTCTATTCTTTTGTTTTTGCAAATACAAAGTAGTAAATGTGGCTATGAAAGGATAAGGGAAAGAGAGACTTAATGTGCATTATGCCCTTGAGTTCTACCAAGTAAGCATAGCATATACACAACTCAGTTAATAAAGCAGCTCCTTGCCATTTGCCAGTGTTTGAAGACACAGAAGACAACTAATTTCTTCATCATTTTTTATTGTGCCTCTCTGCAGTCATGGTGGCGATACGATAATGGCTTTATGAGAACCCTTATGTATTAAAGGCTCACTATTGATAAGATGTGAATAGAATTTGGTATTTAATGTGAAATCTGAATAGCGTAATGTGAGACAGCAATGCGCCTATTAAACTATAGAGTCAGGAAGTAACTTCGTCTGTGGAAGGAGGGTTTGTAACAGGGGAATACTGCTGCTTTTGCTAAAATGATTTCAAATTTCCCAATACCTGAATTAAACACGTATATGAGATTGTAATTTTCTTCATGTATGTCTGTGATGTCGTTATACAACAGTCAGTTATAATCAAAACATAAATATTTAAGTCATGATTTCTCCTTTTCAATGTTCCTCATCTAGAAGGAGCTGGCAAACAACCCTGACTGTCCTCAGATGTGTGCCTATAAGCTGGTGACCATCAAATTCAAGTGGTGGGGACTGCAAAGCAAAGTAGAAAATTTCATTCAGAAGGTAAAATCTGTTCAAAATGCAGTGACTTAACTTTAGGTTAAGATTGTGAGAGAGCTATTCATGGGATATTTTCTCTGTGACCACTTTGCCTTTTTGCCTTTTTTCTTGTAAGGTAAAAATTATTGTAGCTGTATGATTCCCCTCTGCCTGCCCTTCTTTTTCTCCCTAGAAACAGTGAAGACAGAAGCCAGCAGAGGTTTTAAGGGTCTTGCTTTAGGGAAGAGCATAGCAATGTTTTGTTTAAAGTGCTTCCCTGATGGTTTGCCCAGCTCTTCTGTAGAGAGCCCTTTCCACATACAGCTTGTCCCCAAGGGCACATGGTGTCCCACGTGAGCTGAGGGGAGAGGCCAGGCCTTGCCTGCTGAGGTGTGCCTTCATCCCAGCTCAGCTGGATACCCCTCACGCCTTCTACAGATTTCCTCCTGACAAATGCTTTCTTGTGTACTTCGCACTCTTCTTGTGGTACAGTCTTCTTTTGGGGTCCTTGCCGAGAGTCGTTACACATGATCTGAGGGTCCAAATTCTAATCATCTCTTTTTTATGACTTCTGTATTATAAGTGAAAGTAACTGGCAGTTGATCTAGAGAGAAGGGGAAATTGCAGTTGTATAAAAATACATATGGTTATAAACACATAAGGAATATGGAAAGTTCTTTGGTATTTACTTTTCCTGTAGGGTGAATGTTTATTACATTATCATTATAAAGAAGCGCCTTTTGTATTTCTGAACCCACACTAGTTGTGGTGGCAGAGTTCCACCATAAATTTTTTTTACTTTTAAACTGTAACTGCTCTTCAGCATTATGTTTTGTGTTTTTTTTAAAATCTTAAACTATGGAAACTAATTATTCTTGGGCCTGCTTGCAGTTGGCCCGCAGTAGGCACTCTGTAAATATTGGCTTCCTTCCTTCCTCTTGGATCATAATAATAGATTAACAATCTCGTTCTGATAAATAGAAGTCACTCATGTACTTGATGAAGTCCCTTCTGTTCATGGAAAAAAAACGTTAAAGTTGAAGATTGTCCAGAAATACTAAAGTACTCATTGTTCAGTGCATTTCTCTGTCCTTGGGAAAGTTTAATAAAACTTAAATAATCCAGCAATTAAAATCACTAATTATATATGGTAGAAAAATGAACATTAGAGTAGAAAAACTAATGGAGAGTACATAATAATTCTTAATTTCATAAGACATCTTATTCCAAGAACCCAGGATTCCTCTTTCAGTATGTTATTGCATTCCATCTCACAGTATTCCTTTGAACTGCAGAAAAGTTAAGAATAATAATGTATAGCTTTACAGCAGGAGAAATTGAGTTGACCTTTGGTGATTGACATTTAGAAAAAGGTGATAACAAATCAGGTCCAGCTGGAGTTTATGTAGGGTTAGAATGTACACACTACTTTTTTTTTTTTTAACAGTTTCTACTAAATTACACTTCTTCGCAAGGAGAGATTGTTTCATATTTAACAGGGAAATCTTTCTCTTTATTATGTTTTACAAAATGGTAATAGTATGAATTTAAGATTTCTACTAATTGACATAGTAGTCTTTTCAAACCCAAGTATATATCGATTTCATGTGTTAATGGGGATGTTTAAAGTTAATGTGTCATTAACCTTGGAGTTTTACCATCTTATGTTATTTTTCTTCTTTGTTTTAAAAGCAAGAAAAAAGGATATTTACAAACTTTCATCGCCAGCTTTTTTGTTGGATTGACAAGTGGATTGATCTGACAATGGAAGATATTAGGCGAATGGAAGATGAAACTCAGAAAGAACTAGAAACAGTAAGACTTCCTGTTTGTGGAAATTCTCTAATTTTCCCTTTCTGACACTGTATATGTGCTTAGTAAGTATAGACTTAGAATTAAAAAGAGTATTAGAAGCCATTTCTTAATCTGTATATCCTTATCAAAACTGAGTTTCTCAGATACTAACATCTCTTCACATGTTCTGGTTTCTCTTTTCTTGAGCATCTTTTCATAAAAGTAGACTAGAGCTTTCTTGATTTAGAATTTGTTATATGTAAGATGTCCAGTGGTTTGTAAAGTCTTTTTTATGCATTAGTTCTCTCTGATGGTATCTGGTTCACAGTCCTTTTAGACACCCACATGATGAGGACAAGGTGCTTTGGTTCATTTTGTTATCACAGTAAGTTACTAATGTTAGCACAGGAAGCCCCAGTTCCCACTTCTGTAGAAAAGATAAGAGGAGTGGTATTGGTATTGATTCCAGAAAAGCCTCCTTCCCTCCCACAACTGGCAGTGAGTTTTATTTCTTCTTAAGCTTTAGGCAGAAATACATATAAGTAATCCTTGGGCTAGAGGTCAGCAGGCAATGTTTCAAAGTTAAAACCCACCCTGGGCGCCCCACTCCGCTCCCCCACCAGCAAGCAGGCCCTTCATTGCCTGAGCACCCCATTTCTCCCAGGGAGAGGTTCTTCTCTGACTTCCTCTTGCTCGTGTGTCTCGTTTTGCCTTTGCACTCGGGTTACACTTCTTCTCAGTTGTAAGTAAGGCCCCATGGGGGAGAAGAGCCCAGCGAATGTCCAGAGTAGGCTAGCGGTTTCCGTGCAGCCAGCTCGAGGCCTGCCAACAGTGTCGGTTGTGGAAGCCCTGCAGGCGAGAACGTTTGACAGACGCCTGTGTGCAAGGCAGGAACTCCATTTAATCACAGGAGAGTGGCAGCAAATCAGGTTCTTTGGCACAGAAAGAAATCTATTTGTCTGGAACAGAGCATCGTAAAGAATCTGTTTAGAATTGCTTACTTTTGGTGATTACGGTAGATCTGCTTCTAATTAGCTTTATACAAACCTTCTGAGAGGCCTAGGACATATTTTCTTTATAAGGCAATAAAACGTTTTAACCTTATCTTATACATAAAGTAAACTTTAGGCAGTCTCCAACTTATGAATGGATTTTGTTCCAAAAGCTTTTAAGTTGATTTTTTTGAAATTTGGAACACGTTTTCCCATAGAGAAAACAATATAAATTGGGGTTTGATTTGTAGGCCAGCTAGTGAAAGACTTTTTGACCTCAGTTTCTCTTACTATTATGGGGTGATCAGGCGGCAAGCACGGAAGACTCTTCCCTTACCCCCTACTTTTAGGCTGGCCCAGTCAAAATATTTCAACAGGGAAGAATAAGTCTTCGTTGGGTATGTCCCTTCTCTCTGCGCTTCTCGCCAACTTGTCTTCCCTCGCTCAGGAGTCAGGTGCCCTTCTCTAAGAAGCACCCACCACCATTCAGTTTGAATTTCTTTTCCCCTGCCTTGATGGTTTTGCTCCCCCCAGGTGCTCCAGGCTCCTGCAGCACCTGCTGGCTCTGCCTCTAGCCCTTTTGAGCAGCTGGTGTCAGCCAAACATTGAAAAGATAGCAGTGTGTTCTCTGGTTTCCCTTCAGATTGTGTAAATCTTTTGCTGTTTATTAAACATTTCTTTGGGGAGGAACAATTCTGGGTTTTGAAAAAAAAGAAAGAAACCATCATGGTTGCACTCATTATCACTAAACTCATGGTACAGACTTAGTGTCTTCAAAAATGATTTACCAACACCAAGATAAAACAGAAACTAGGCTTATTTTTATTGGTTTGAACTCTCATGAGGAAGAGTGGTCACAGTTAAAGGGCGATGGATGGAGCCCTCCCTGGCTTCGGCTCTGAACCCTGCCTACCTCTGGACCCCTTGAACAGAACTGGGCTGAGACCTCTCTTCCCCGACAAGTTCTCAGTTTCTGGTACCTGGACACAGAACAGCCCCAATGTCAACATGATGAGAGCCCTGGCAAAGGGGAGGAGGCTCGCTCCCACCCGCGGCAGTGGCCCTGCAGTCTCAGCTGCTTCTCCGTGCAAATCAGTCAGTTGTGAGTAGGTAATTACACCTGAAAAGGAGGTGTAAGGTAGACAAGTAGTTTCACACTTCCCTTTTTGTTAATGGGAAGCCAAAGTTATTAGAAGGTATCATTGTTATTTTACCTCCATGACTCAACTGGATTCCCCTAAGAAGTTGCTAGGAATCTTATGATTGGTTCGGAGTTGGAGGTACATGGCAGTTTCTTTGTTATATATTTCAAGGACACTTTAAGGAAAATTTCAGCATTAACTGCTGATCATAACATAAAATCCCATGTCAGTCGTTTTGCTTCAGGTCGTCGGGGGGCGCTCTGTTCCGTGGTGCACTGCTGCTGCTCAGGGTCCTCCTGGCTGCTTCACGAGCATCCCAGAATCTGGGCGGCAGCATGCCCGTGGCCCGCCTGCCTGCTCAGAAAGCACCCGCCTCCTGAGGAGGCTGAGCGTTTTCAAGTCCTCTTCACCACGGAGGAATTTCCTCTTTGCTCGAGTTCCTGTTATCCTGACACCTGATGGTAGAACTTGATATATTGTAATTGTCTTCTTAATTCACAAATATTTTTAAGAATTGGATTTCTTTGAAATGGCTTTTGGCCCTGCAGAGAAGGGATAGAGAGGTAGGGCATGAGAGGGAAGCCACTGCCTGCGGCCCCCTGGAGAGCTGCCGGGTTCAGGCCCAGGGGCTGGGAGAGGACTTGGGGCGCCCCTTTTGCTTCTGTTCTCAGCTGGCACCTCTGTGAGGGTCGGGGAGAAGGGCTGAGTGTTAGAAATGCGTTTATTGCATTTGTTCTTTTCTGTCCATTCTTTTCCTTAATTTTCTCATTGAGTTTTTTAAATAGTCTGTAGGCTATTGCTATGAATGCCTGTCTTTTCTGATGCATCCCTGTGTCTGTCTTTCATCGTTTCTCATACATTGTTCCTGTGCTTGCTTATTCTTCCTCTTTTTGATAAACTTCCCACAAAGAATTCCTCTGAGGAACCCTGGTCTCAGAAGCAATGGAGGTGGCCATTCCTCCTGGCTTCCTTTCTGGTCTGGGGACTAAAAGAATAGGAGTCAGACCACGGGGGCATGTTCTCCTCTCATGTTGGTGAATAGTGGTTTGCCCTTAGCTGTCTGACCATTTCACATCACCAGTCTTCAGGCTTTTGCTTCCTAGATTCAAGAACAGACACACATTTTTTATGCTGTGTAAGAAAATCTTGCAAAATGATTTTCTTTTTGCAGATTTTTCCTTTTGCAAGATTTTCTTTAGACCAAGGTTAGTAAAGAGGCCTCCGAACTTCATTCTCTGGGTGGAAATGGTTTTAAACAGGCAGTGGCCACTTCACAGTCTCTTCTAGATCTTTTTTTCTTCCCTTGCTTACTAACCCAATATAGAGTCTATGATTTCAGCAGCTCATGATTTTATTTTACGTTTAGATGCGTAAGAAGGGTTCCGTCCGAGGCACGTCGGCTGCTGATGTCTAGATGAGTCCCCTGTAGGGTCAGAGACAATATCAAACTGTGTAAGTGAAGACCTGGGTAAAAAGGATATTTAAAAACCAATACCTTTTTGGTAATGGGAAGTTAACTTGCTGAAGAGAGACTAAGTGTTGAATGTGGTTTAATTTTTAGAATTTAAGAGATTATATTTTAGAAACTAACAGTGAACACTTGAGTTACTACTGTGTAAAAATTTTATGCATGGGACAGATTGAAATCTGTAATCCCTTAGTGTCACTGGGTTAGAAACCAGCTGCTAAGTGTGCTCTATTCGTCATGTAGCATTGTCCTAGAAGGCAGCTGATTTCTCATCAATAGCCAGTTAATTGGCCTGTTTTTCAGTGGGACCATTTGTGGTTAGTAAGGAAATACATAAAAGCATTTTAAGTCAAAGATCTTTTATTCCATACCATAAGGACCAACCTCAATAATTAATTTAGTTTTTTTCTGAACGCCAGAAAATCATCCTTTATGTTGACTCTTCAACTGTCTTTACAGTTAGCCATAATATGTTTAAATATACTTTGGTTTTTATTTACAACGTAAAACATTTCTATGGTCTTACTTCTCTAACAGATTTATTTGTTAAAATTAGAGATTTTCCTAGAAGGGATAATAGAGCCTCAGAATCTACCCCACATTTTGAAATCAGTGTGAGGTAAACAAAAATTTATAGTACACTGTCATCATTAGTTAATACTGAACTGTGATGTTTATTGAGGAAAAGCACAAGATAGAACACTCTTCTCACTCCACTGTAGTTCTTTGCTGCCCTTTACATGTGATGCCTGCTCTGTAATTATAGAACGTGGGAGACATGACGTGTTCAGTAGTGAAGAGAAGTAGTACCAAATATGAACGATTGCCAGGATCCCCTCCAGGCCCTTTCTTTAAATTCACTGTTCCATAATAAATAAATAAATAAATAAATAAATAAAGTCAAGTTACTGTTTTTTGTTAAATTCTTCTACGCTTCTGTGATTTATATTTGCTCCTAATTTATTTTCTCTCTGATGAAACAAAATGTTACGCCATTAGTAAGACCAAAATTGTCAAGAGGTTAAATTTAAATTTTCTAAATGGAGTAGTTGGGGTCCATTTTCTGCTACAAGTTTTGATGCATTGAGGGTTTTGGAGGTTTTTTTTGCATTGCGAATGTGTGCAACAAACTGCTGTCTTGACGTTGTTTCTGTCTCCCTGAATTTTAACACACTGTACTTCTTTCACTTTCCTTGCAGTTACGTAATCAAGGCCAAGTGAGGGGAACAAGTGCAGCCAGTGATGAGTGAAGAAGAATCTGACCAGGATCTCGCAGTGCTGGCATTTCCCAGACATGTGCTTGTGATTATGTACTCACGTGCACAGGTTCCCAACCGCGTGTGTATATATGTATGTGTGCGTATATCTGTAGCTGTATATAAAACGCATGTAGAGCTACAGATCAAAATACATACACTTGTGTATATATGTACATATAAACATACTGAAGGGATTAATACAATTTCTCCAAAGTACTGTACCTATCTTCAGTAAGAATGCAAAAGAAAATATTTTCAATATATATAGTTGGAACAGATTTTAATAATCAGAGTAATACCATTCATTAATGGACAAATTGACTGCAATGTAAAACTAGTTAGTATGTTTCATAAATGTCAAAATTGTGGACCAATACACACACACACACACACACACACACACACACACTAGCCTTTTATTACTTTTCTGTTCTTTTAAATCAATCTCTTACAAATTTTTATTTTAGTCTCATAAGCAAAGACTCCCACAGAAAAATTTATTCAAAATCTTTTGGTATTCCAGTGAATCTGGAATGTAAACTCTTGAGTGTGTGTATAATGATTTATTTCTGTATGGTTGTTATTTTACAGCCAACTAGGACAATATCCATTAGTAAGAAGTAAAGTTATAGGCCAGTTTTTACTTGTTTGCCCTGAGGGACAAAATCCTTTTTAAAAAAAAAAAATCTGGTTTTTATTGGATTTTTGTATTTTAAATTTCAAGTATTTTTCTACATCAGACGTAGCAAAAAAATGGAGATGATGATTTTGTGATGTATAATAAATATTATACAATTTTCGGCCTCCTGTTAGGCAAACAAATTGATGAAGAAATTAATAGCATTGTAAGCTGTTCAGAAAAATTAGAAGCACAGTGCACCACAGCGTCTTGTTCCGGAAGAGACTGTCTTCTGAAATTACAACTTGGAAGCTATGCAAATGATCTGGATTCCTCACAGCTTACACGATAGACTATAGATAGTGATGGTGTATTGCTCTTTTCATGTTAAAACAGTTTTAAGGGGGAGATGCTGACTTTTAAATAGGAAAAACTTAAGAGGCAGCATGAGGTTTGCCTGCGCATGGTTCGGAGGCCCGGATAAGGGGCCAGTGCACCTCCACCCATTCGGCTGCGCTCTGAAGTAGGATGTCATTAGAACATGCCCCGAGTGAATAAGCATCATGAGAACATGCTGGTTAGAGGTTAGAAGCTGCCGCCGCCTTTTTTGTTGGAAAGAAAGGACCGATAGCTAGGTAAGAATTTGATCGACTTTCTCTGTCCAAATCCAGTTTTTCTCCCATCAGTCCTGGAAGCTTGAATAGAATGATATTGTTGAAGCCTTCAGGTTACAAACTATCTTCTTTAACCTCTTGTCCCTCCTACAACTCACCAGCCCCTGTAGTCACATCACATTAGTAATCTGATTTGCAACAGTCCTGTGCCCCCCTCCCCCACTTCTCTTTTTTCCCCACGTGTCCTCTGTTCCCACCGAAGTGATCGTAGTGACTCAGACAAGGGTGTCTTCTGCACTGCGATACCCTATAATCTTCAGCTCCAAACCCCACGTTGCTTATGTCCTCTGTGTACTCAGGATCAAGACTGATGTTTACTCTCTGAGCAAGCACTGTTGTGAGATAGGTTCTGTCAGCACATAATCATTGTCTGCAAAGTGTTTGATGCGAGGAAGATTATTGCTAATTTTGTGAAATAAAGACTCTCGTCCTCTCCTCTTAATGAACTTAACTCTCACTGGCATCTGCAGCATCTTTGGGAGCCTGGGCGCACATGGCAACGAGAGCCCAGCGCATGGATTTTAATGTTTCTCTAACAACTGTGGAGATTTGAGGGAATACGTGGTGAATGTAAAATACCTAGTTTACTTGGCAGTCTCTTGTGTAAATTACAGTAAAACAAAGTAAATGAAATTTAAACAAAAAATAAATTTGATCACAAAATGCCACTTGTGTGCTTGAGTGGTGGTTTCCCTGATGCCACGTCTGCCTCAGAGCACTGCGGTCCGCCTCTCTATTTTTTCAAGAATTCTCTAATTTTCAGCACTACCACTCTGGGAAAAATAAAGAAAAAACAGAGTTTTGTGTGTGTGTGTGTTTTAATTGCAAACTCCTGTTGAAATGCGCCTATGCCACATTAGGTGGTTACATTTAGCTTCTTAAATAATTTTGTCTTTAAAAGCTAAGCAATAAACTAAAAGATGATTATTAGTCTCAGAGGTTTTTTAAAAATCGTTTTTAAGGGGAAAATACAGAAAACCCATAGTATTTTTAAAAGCACTCAGTAAGGATTTTGCTTTGTTTTACCTGTCCTCTTTCAGAACTTTGGAAGGTGTGCTGGTTTTGGACATGGAACAACTATTTTCTCATGGTTCCAGCTTACGTTATAGAGTTGCTTTCAGCCTTTAGAGAGGTAGCCAGCTGTGTGAGTGTATTTAATGTATAATGTTTTATGTCAAGGGTGTTGTGTGTTTTCTGAAGTCATTTTCTCAGTATTCTGTTTCAGATGCAGAGTTTGCATCCACACTGGCAGTCTGTCTGTGCCTGCAGCAGCCGTATGAGCACTTACATGCCCAGCACTTGGGCCTCACTGGAGGCACCAAGATGAATACAGGCAGTGCACAGTCCCATGTGGGAGACAGACGTGTGAACAGATAAATTACAGTTCCGTGTGATACGTGGTCATTTAACGGTACAGAGTTGGTTGAGAGAGATTTGACATCATTCACATTGTACAGATGAAAAAGCAAAAAGTCCAGGCCAAAGGCAGCTGGGATCTGAGGAGCCCAGGGTGCCGGGAGCGGTGGGCCTGGGGTCAGTACACCCCCTTGGCCCCTCACTGACTCCTGGACTCCGTCAGTGGAGGCCATGAAGCCCAGCTGGAGCGTGTTCACGCTCAGTTGAGACATCATATCCGCTAGCATACAGTACGCCCTCTGCAGTGTGATTTCTCACTTCCTATTCCATTCACTTAACCGGACTGCCTCCTGGTTGATCTAAAATCACTTTGGCCCTAACACCTGGCTTTTAGAAAACTCACCTTTCTCTCCCCTCTTCAATTTGCTAAGCTGTTAAGCTTCGCAGCTCAACCTCCTCCTCAAATCTTGTCTCTGAGGAGGTATAAGAGACATTAGCAGCTGATGGGTCCATCTTTCAGCAGCTGAGCTGACAAGGGGTCGGTATGAAATTTCCTGCTCTTAACCACTTGGAAGGAGAAACTTCTGACCTTAGTCCTTGAGACCTGGTAATACAGAATGCCGCTGTATTAGGGGAGAGTTCCGTGGATTCGAATCGAGTTCTTCAAGCTACCCTCTCAGGCAATTAAGATTTGGGCTCCACGGGGTCGGGGAGAGGGAAGGTGCTAGGGGACAGGCTGAAGATTGTTCCCCTGAGCTGGGAGCAGCGGCTGCCGACAGGGAGTGCTTCCGAGGAGCCCTGCCAGTGTCGCTGGGGTCATGTTCCCCAACTTGGAAATACTAGGCAAAAGCAGCTCCCTTCAAAACCATTCCTTCGATGGGATTGGATTAGGAAAAGCAGAAATTGAAGGTATTCCAAAGCTGCCCCCCGAAAGTTTCAATGCTAAACACTTAGAGCTGTGCTTAGCAGTTTGAGATACCTGATGCTCTGATGTTCGAAGCTTTTTTCCCTTTTGAAAGTGCCTTTTTGCTCCGCAAGTCAACTCTTTAAAAGGAATTGTTAACTAAATTGGTGCTTCCCCACTCCTGCAAGATGGCCTGCACTCACTGGAGTGGGTTGTGTGGGGAACCACTGCTATGTCATGCATTTCTCTTCCAGTGAGTTGAATCATGAATTAGAATATCCCCAGGTGGGGGAAAAAACGTCTCCTTCATCCCAGCCGTACTGTTCTTCGTGTCCCCAGACTGCATCTTGTGGGCCCCCGTATCTTGAGGGTTTATTCTGTTTTGCCACGGCTGCTGGTTTGAAAAACTTGAGATCAGGTAAACTGGCGGCTCTCAGCCACAGCTGCACCTTAGAATCGTGGGGAGCCTTTAAAAAAATAAGTTGCCTTTCTATGGCTTGGGTTCTGTGTACCCTACTTGCAAAGGACAGATAAAGAGAGCTAAGAATTCCCACTCTTCCTGGAAGATGATCGAGAGGACTGTTTCCTCGCAAGGAATCAGATTTCTACCCATTCCTCAAAGTCCAGTGCCACCCCCACGCTGCCTGCCTTGCCGTGGAGCGACTTCCCTGGCAGTCCGCCCCCCTTGTTTGGCTCTTACAGACTCTGCTGCCTTGGTAGATGCAATCAATGTCATCTTTCATACGTGTGTGTTGTGTCCCACGTTAGCTTGTGCACGGGCAGGAGCCGCAGTACCTGAGGGTTGCCTTCCCTGACGGAAGCTGACTCAAGCTGCTCCTTTTTCCCACAGCAGATTCCTGCCTACCCTGTGCAAGGCCTCTCTTGAGTCTGAGGTTAGAGGAGGGGAAAGTATGACCAAAAAATTAGATCTAATTTCTGCCCCCAGAGAATTAAAGCCCGACAACTAGCTGCAACAGGAGGTAGTTAATTCTGGCAGCTAGTAGTACAAAGTACGATGAGAGAACAGAGGAGGGAGCTCCAGGTCCGCATTTCCTCTTCGCCTTCCAGACACCTAAACCAGAGCTTTGGTAAGCTCTTGGAGATAAAGGAGTCTAAAACCTAACTCCCAGTCTTTCCTTTTCCCCCAAATGCTAGAAATCCTAGTTGCTTACTGAGTCTTAAAAGTGCCTCCGAAAGCCTGAGAAATCCTATTCGTCTTACATGTCCTGGTCCAAGCTGCGCTCTGATGAGCTGTCCTCTCATCTAGAGCAGGGGTCCACAGACTTCTTCTGTAAAAGGATAGGTAGTAAATATTTAGGTTTATAGGCCATAGAGTCCATCACAGCTCTGCTGTTGTAATACAGAAATAGCCACAGACATGCAGAATAGCTTGTCTGTTGTGCTAAAACTTTATACACACAGATAATGGGCCGGATTGGGCTGGTGAGGCTGTAGTTTGCCAAGCCCTGGACTAGAGCATGGAGAACAGTCAGGATCTGCCAGGGAGGACTTTCTAGAACACTCCCGATTGTCCCGCGCCCCTGCTGGAACCACCTGCATGGCTCTCTAAGGCCCAAAGGTCCAGCGCAGCCTAACCCTGATGGCAGCGAGAGCCTGGTTCTGCTGTCTGCAAAGTGCAGCCAATGGTGCTCGCCCACATCCTGGCCGTCGGAGGGTCAGCCCTGAGCGAAAATGAGCAGATCTCTCTGTGGCCCGCAGCCCAGACATTGTCCTTGGGAAGGGCCTTAGAAAGCAGAGGAAGACAGTCTCTGTGGTTTGCCATCATACTCCCAACCAACACCAACTGAAAGTTGCAGGGTAGAAAGCGGTGATGGGCTAATAAAAGCTATTGTTGTACTAAGTACAATCAGACAATGCTGGCCAGCTAAACGCTTCTCCATTGGCATATTTTGCTTCCCTATATGTCTGTTGTCCAGAAAATACCATCTGTGGCTGTTAAACTAAATGCTCTCCTTGTGCAAAAGCTCATAGATGCCCTATAAATTTCCCACGATTAAAATTTGGCTCTCTCAAAAAATAAAAGAGGGGGAAAAAAGGAAATTTGGCTCTCTAGATGCCACTGCTAACGTGGTCGCCTGAGCCTGGCTTCGTGGCTCCTGGTGGGGGACGGGAAGGCCAGGCCTTTGCCTAGAAAATCGGCCCAGAGTTTCCCTGAGTCAGTGACACTTGACCTTGGGTCGAATCTGTTTACTCCTTGAATTCAGAGAAGCAGTAAAGCTCCATGATGTGTCTCGGCCTTGTTGATCCCTAATGCCTTCCGACACCCCCTCCTAATCAGTCCGGAGCAGAACTGCCTTGCACTCCAGACTGAGGGAGGTTCATGAAGTGGAACGGAGGAGTGGCGTACGGTGTTTATTAATGTATGTGCTAAACAAAAGCTTCCCCTCTGGGCATCGCGTTGCATGCAGCCGGGAATACCGATGGCCCGTTCTCCCAGGGCCGGCTCCACTTTCCCGTGGGTCCAGAGGGTCTGAAACAGCTGAGCCGATGGCAGGTGCTGGAGTGCTTCCCATCCATGGTTTTCTGTACCTACCACTCTAAACATGTCATTGCCAAGAGGGGCACTGTGAGGGGCAAGACACTTCTCCCAAGCGAGGCTGTAGGGAGGCTCAGGGTCAGGCCTGGAACAGCCATGCATACACATCACATAGGCCATTTACTTAGGTTGGCCAGCTCAGGAAAGGGCCAGATAGTGAATATTTTGGACTAAGTGGGGCACATGATCTCTGTTGCAATTACTCAGCTCTGCCTTCGTAGCCTGAAAGCAGCGGCAGACAGTATGTAAACAAATGGGTGTGGTTGTGTTCCAATAAAACTTTATTTACACAAACAGGTGGTGGGCTGGGTTTAGCCCAAGGGCCATCATCATTTGCCATCTCTACTTGGCAATTCTTCCCCCCCACCCTGCCCCACAAAAGCCAACGCTTTATAGCACTTACTCTGTCAGGCACCGTTATTCTAAGCACAAAGCATAAATAAATGGCCTCCTCTAACCTTCACAACCACCCGATGATGTAGATAGATCCTGTTATCACCGCCCCCCTTCTACAGCTGAGGAAACCGAGGCCCAGATAAGCGTGGTTTTTCTAGGTCACGTTACCGAGAACGGGGAGCCAGGGTTATCCTGGGGCCGCTGCTCTTTTGGCCATCGCCACTGCGCCTCCAGCCTTCCCTTCTTTCAGAACCGCCTAATTCCATGCCTGAGGCATTTACTAAGTGTCCCTGTGAGAAGCGGCCATAATGATAAAAATTCTATTGCAGACACCCTAAGTCCTGAAACACCATTTAGGAGCAAACTTCTATGACCGATTCTTCCCAGAGGTCAGAGCCAAGAAAACATTTCTTCCTAGACAGAGTTGATTTCCCCTCACTCCTGGTGTCAGGAAACGCCCGGGTTGCATTTTCTGTCCCACTGAGGCAACCTTTTTAGGTGGGGTTTCCTGACACAACTCCTTCCCCCTGTGCCTCCCAGCCAGCCCCCCATCCCATGCCTCAGACTTGATCTTCC